CTCTCCTCTCGATACCATATTCTTACCATCATCAATTCTCTCCTCCCACTAACATACATCTACTCAGACTATTTGCACTAAATTCTCTTATCTCTGCTGCTACATGCTCTCTCAATCCCTGGCTCGTCTGCTGCGTACATCTCTCTCTCGCCCTACTTCTCTCTCTCTCTCTCCTCTCTCTCTCTCTCCCTCTTCCATCGTGGCTCTGCGTCTCTCTCTCCTCTCTTCTCTCTCTCTCTTTCTCTCTTCTCTTTATGTGTGTGTGTGTGTATTCTTCACCCACTCTACACACTCTATCTCTACTACACACACGAGCACACACACCACACCACACACACTACAACTGGCAACATCCTACTCTCACACACACACACTCACACACTACCACCCACACACCACTCCACACAAACCACAAGCACAACACAAAATAAACAACAGAGGTCTCCGCCTATCGAATCATCGACAACGAGCACACACTCACGACATCACACACACACACACAACTACACACAACACACACTACACACACACACTACAACATATTCATACACTAGCGAAACGATTCAATTACAAGTTAGTTTTTTTATTTTGATATACCTATATTCAACATCTTACCAAGACAACATAGCACAACACATCATTATATTTGTGGTTGCTGAAGGTTTTTCAAATAATCTGGCACATTGTATTTACCTTGTCCATAATGTTATATGTAATTTTTGTAACATACCAGTGAAAAATGAAAAAGAATATTTTTCTTTGTTTGTATTATATACATATATTGTGAGTATATTAAATACTATTCACCTCCTATTCTGATCCTTACACTCAATTAAGCTATTATATTTAAAGTTGAGTGTATACAGAGACACTAACGTTTTCTCGGTAGGTGCGGAGGGTAAAAAGTAGTGGATTATGTAGGTAGTAAGTTGTATGTGTATATATAATATAATATACCTCACTGCTCATCTCTAACGCGATAACTACAGACGGTATACACTCAGTGATCACAAAACACCATAAAGTATTATAGAACGATATAAGGAATCCACGGGTCTCTATACTGAGAGGAGACTCGGCGAGAGGAGTAATAGTGACTACAGCATAAGATGGTAAGTGACACTGAGGTACGGGCCTAAGGATCAAACCATGAATCACAGCTGCGACCTAATTAGCTCACACATTTCATCAAACTATTATATCTCAGCTGTTTGCAGGGAAATAAGGGGTTCGTGTTAAATGTGGTGATGATAAGGATAGTGTTAAAAGATTCATCAGGATTAATGATAGCAGGATAGTTTGGTAGGTAATGATAATTATAGAATGAGAGGATATGTTATAAGGAATCATTAATTCAATTATTTTTTATTATCTTATTGCTTGTAATTATACTAGATATATCATTTAACTATTAATATGAATTTATATATAATTATTTATTCATATACACACTATCACACAATAACGACACTCAGCCATATTCAGTCTACATCACTACACACACACACACACATCATAACACACCAGAGCTACTACACACGAGCGAGCGAGCAAGCTATCAGCATCTCTATCATACAACAGGATGCACATCAACAATCAACTACAACACATCAACGACATTTACACAATACAACAATATCTTCTATATGTGTGTGATGATGGTAATAATACCAATCCAGATTAATGACTAGCATGATAGCACTAAACAACTGTTTTAGATAACGGAGATTGATACGACAAGAATAAACCTATAATTGATAACAATAAGATACAACAAACTGCTAAGAGATTATTTTTTAATCCTCGAAATATGATAATCAGAACCAATAGTAATAATTCTACTCTATAAAAAAAAAAAATCGCGTTTATTCACACGTGACACTTCCACTCACTCCTATCCGTGCCATCACTATGTCATAGTATATATATATTATATACTATATAATACTACGTTGGATACACACCGGCGAGGATTCCTACACGATCCACATGAAAGCCATACCGATTTTCATTATGGCGCTCGTTGAAGGAGGCTTTCGCTGGAAGGGAAATGGAAGTGCAGTAGTGGCGGTATAGATTGAGTGAATAAGGATAATTAGTAATATAGTGAGTTGATGGTTGATGGAAGGCGCTCACCGTAGTAGTGATAGCATGATGTTACTTAGTGATTCATGTATCCTCGAGGTTATGAGTTAACTTTGTTAGAACTAATCTTTATTTAAATGCATATACTTTCATGGACAAGTACAGATCATAAGTACAGACACACATTCTCTCTCTCTCTCTCTCTCTTTATCTTCTCTCTCATCTTCTCACTCTCTCTCTCTCTTATATATCTCTCTTACTCTCATCGCTCTCTCTCTCTCCTCTCTCTATATTATCCTCTCTCTCTTTTCCTATCATCTCTCTCTACTCACTTACTCATTACTACTCTCTCTCTTCTGCGTCTACCCTCTCTCTCTCCTCTCTCTCTCTCATCTCTCTTCTTGCTCTCTCTCTCTCTCTTCTCTCTCTTTCTCGCTTCTCGCTTCTCCCCCTCACATTTAAACCACACAACACACACAACACACACAATCACAATCACACGCGGGCGCACAGTCTAATCAGGCTTACAACCTTCTACCCTGTACACGCATGCCTGTACGCACACACATAGAATAACAGACACGTGAACTTACCCTGCATTTGGGACCGTCCAAGTTCCTCGATGAGATAGATCTGCCCCCAGTCCGACAGCGCTGTCTTGCTGCAGAACACGACCATGTAGCTGACAGAAACCACCCACAGGAAGGGAGTAATAGGAACCTTCGTTGGTGTTAGTATTAGTCACGCCTTTATCTGAAACAAAGTATATATGGATATAATATAGATTAATAGAAAGGACGAACTAAAATTGAATGATTTGATCATATTATATCAATTATCATTAGGTACTATTTATAATGTAAATAATTTAAAACAGCATTTTACGTTATAATATGTTTGTTCTAACAATCGATTAGTTATATCCGCCTAAGAGGGTATATCTAATTTACGTAGGACAGATATAAATATTTCATCGATATATTCTATTATCTATTATATTAGTATATTATATATAATGTAATGATAATTTGTGATTAAAATATTATTGAATCTGAATAATTAATTAATATTAAAACGCAGTTATAAATATAAAACATATAAGTGATATTAATATAATCTCAATGATAGTAGGTATTAAGTGCGATTTTATAATAAACGTAATTCATTCCTGATATAACGGAGATCACCCCTGAATAGGCCATATTATCCCACGTATTATAAACAGTATGTCTCCCTCTTTCATCTCAACACTTCCAGGCCCAAACAAGAAAAAAAAAAAAAATATATATAGAATAAATATAATAAATATATATATATAAATATAAAATATACACAGCACACACAACACACACACACACACACACACACAACACACACACACACAACAACAACAATAACTCTACATATCAAAAACATAGGCCTATACATTACATAAGCTGCTCAGTGCCTCATACTATCATTACTCAAGATCATATTCTGAAGCATCCTATAGTTCTATCAAGTGCGTCATGGTCTTATTCCCAGCTACATGTGAAGATATATTGAGATAGTATGTGACTCATCGTATCAATCGACCTTTTGACCTATTAAGATGAAATTACATTATTGACGCTTTAGTATATGTAGAATAACTCATATCATTTATTACTATTTGAAAGTTAATATCGAGAATTTTGCTCTCTGGAGTAAATATATTATTGAACTATCATTTGTTCTAGAACAACTGACCTTATGTCATATCGGTTAGAAGCTCATGCATAAATGCTCATTAGTATAAATATGAGCTTGAGCCGAAGATATATATAACTGAATAATGAACCTTATATTCTTGTGAATATTTTATATCACTATTGATAGCGCTTTAGCTTGAAGTATATAATGTGATAACTATATCACTAGAAAAATTATAACTTTTTGTACCATTCACTCAAGAATGCCCTCGTAATTATCGAATTATATGGATATGATATAAACTTAGAACCCTTGACTGCCAGTAGCGAGCAACTACCGATAAAGGATATGCGATCACATGTATAGCTTGGAGGAAGTGGACGGTGGACCTACGAAAAATATGCGCGTATCATCCAGTTTGCGGCATTACCGAAGAGCTCCGGCTGAGCGAGGAAGACCCAACCTTGCTTAGAATACAAACCACGTCAGAAGATCTAACTTTACTTACAATGCAGACCATGTTCCAGCACATTTCTAATAACGTCGACCGTCGTACCAATACGCAATGCCCAGAGGCCAATGATTCAACAAGATCCGAGCAAGAGATTACATGTAGACAGAGAGTGTGTCAGGAACGGGACTATCGTGCATAGAGGGTGTATCTCAGAGAGGGGCCTGCACTCCCAGAGAGTAGGGAGGATACAGCTAGTCACGTCAGGAAAATCCAACTTTCTTCTCCAATACAGAAAGCTGCACACATGCACATACGCTCCGACGAGAACGTATCCTATATATAATATCCGTTAAATGCACATCGCAGCTCCCGGGCCGCGCTGAGATGATCTTAAACCGCTCCCCAGAAGCGTACTGACTCCCTTGCCTTAGGCTTTGGGGGCGCAGGAGGAAGGCCGGCGAGGGAGGCGGGTCGGGGTGCGGGGAGGGTCAGGGGCGAGTATGGAAGGTCGTAGGACGAAAAGCCACAAGCGCCGACCCATAGGGGTACGCTCCCTCGAACGCGATGCGATTGATAGGCGAAGGACGAGCCAAAGCGCAAGCGAGGGAGAAGGGAGAGAGGCGAGAGAGGAGGAGGCAAGTGTGACCGAGGATAACAGAAGGAGATTGTATGCGGGTGAGAGGGCAGTATACGTCGCACTACATTACTAGTGGATGCTGGCCTTGTTCTTCACTGGCGCGTACACTTCTCTCGACCTCCTGATCTTCTCCTCTTCGATGCACTGGTGCATCTCTCGGTGAAGAGCGTCTCCAGTGTGTATAAAAAGGAAAAGAGATCTCATCTACGCTTGTCGTAAGTGCTGCTGGGTGGGGTGTGGTTATCAACGTGAGCGTTTTTTTTGCTGAGGATGTGATCAATTTAGCGTGTAGCCGTTGAGGCTTTCGTTTGTTGGCATCGTTTCATCTTGCGCTTGACCACTCTCTCGAATGTTAATGCGATACGTGCTGCTTAATACAGTCGTATACCAATGGTGATCAATCACATCTCTATCCGAAACTTACTCCTCTCTTCTCTGTGATGCCGTTTGCTTGGACGCTTCGTCTCTTTCCTTCGTGCGTCCTCGTACCTCTTCCTCTCTCGTGTCGGGTGCTGCGTCCGTGCTATATATAAGAGGCGGTATCGGGAGAAACATAACAACAACAAGATGAAAGAACAGATAGAAGATAGTTAATATACATACATACTTAATATATTATATATATACTATATATATATATACTCTATATATAAATATATTATATATATATATATATTATATTATATAATATATATACACACATCACAACACACAACACATCACACCACACACACACACACACACACTACACATCACATAATCATATATATATTATATACTATATATAATTATATATATATTATATATATATTATTATATTATATATATTAATACTATGATATATATAATTAAATATATATAATTAATTAATTTAATCAATCTATTGTATATATACCATTATCTATCTTGTATATAATATTATCTAATTCGGGTTTTAATATGTTTCTGTTACTCTAGTGTATTGTCAATATATTATTTATTAATACTATGCTGTTATCTCATATGTCTATCTATACATACACTCATATTAATATAATTATAGTCTATTCTAGTCAATGTACCACTATATAATCTAATTCAATAATATATATATATATATAATTTTATCTATCTCTAATCTGTATACTATTACGTGTATAAATCTAACTAATTATATATTCTGTATTCTACTCTCTCTCTCTATCTCTATCAAGTATAAATCAATACACATTAACTTTATCATTATTATTCATCAATACTCACATTTCACATCATCAACAACTCGAACATGCTAACACACACACACATCACACACCACACACACACACACACACACACACATACACACACACACTACACACACACCACACACACACACACCACACACACACACACACACACACGCAACGCACACGCACGCACGCACGCACGCACGCGCCCTCCTCACCTGCCAGAATAAGCGAGGCGCTCCCGTGGTGGCACGATGACGTAGGCGGCGAGCAGCGGCGACGCGGTTCCCGACACGTTGCTGCTGGCCGTCAGCACGCTCCACCACGTGCCGAAGTTGGCCGGGCTGAACCACTGGGCGGGACACGTGGGTTTATTTGGTGTGTTCGGGGGAAGTTGTTTGTAAGTTTGTTTTTTTGTTTTTTTGAGGGGTATTTTGTATGTTATTTTGGGGGTATTTTTTCAAGTAATTCTTTTTGATCAATGTGTGTGTATTTTTGTTATATAGTATTTTTTAGTTAATTTTATTTTTATTTTTTTCTATTCGTATATTTTTTATTTTGTAATTTTTGTGTTTTTTGTTATTTGCTATTTTTTTGTAAATTTATTATTTTTTTGTTTTTTGTTTTGTTTTTGTTTTCATTTTGTATTTTTCTGGGGGTAGATTATTTCGTTGTTGTTCTTTGGTTTCTTAGTTTTTCGTTTGTTTTAAAGTTGTTTGTTTGTTTGTTTGTTTTCAGTTTACGGTAATTTGGTGTCACTGAAACATCCTTTTTCAACCAAATTCTACCCTTTTCTATCAGAAACCCTAAATCTATTAATAGCACTGCATTCCACACCCAAAAAAAAAAATAAAAAATAATAATTTAAAAAAAAAATAACATACAATAACTCAATCCATAACACAAATCATAAAAAGACAACAACAACAGCAAAACCCCTTCCCTTAATACCTACTTTCTTCAGCAGCTTCGCGCACGCAGGCCACCCAGCGCCCTGAGCGAACCCGTTGGCGAACCACAGCAGCGCCCAGAGTCTCGGGTCTTCGGTTCTCGAGAAGAGGAGCGTGCTGGCCCCGCTCAGAGCCAGGCCTGGAACGAGGGAACGGGTCGGGTAAGTGGCTGGGAGGGTCATTTGTACCATAATTTGGGATTTTTTGAACGCGTTGGGTGTTATTTGTACCATAATTTGGGATTTTTTGAACTTGCGTTGGGTGTTATTTGTACCATATTCTGCATTTTATAGATATTTTTGTTGATATTCCCCTCGTAAAATCTCGATCCTTGTAAGTAAAATGTGGTTGGAGAGATGGATGATATAAATCTAAAAATATAGTGATTATAAGAGACAGCAATTTATATAAATAAAAAGTGTGGTGGAGTGTGAGTGGTGAGTGAGTGTGTGTGTGTGTGAGTGGTGGTTGAGTGTGAGTGTGTGTGGTGCGTGT